TCATTCGAGGGTTAAGACTTAGTACAAAATTACAAGAAATTAAAGTTTCTTTCCTGCTTTTTGTTCCTTTTTTACCTAAAAAATTTACTTACGTAGGATTAATTAATTTCATTTGCTGTTATTGAAGGTCTAAATGTTGTAGACCTACCGTCTCCATCTGACGATGCTGTAAGTACAAGCAAACGTGAAAGCTTCAAAAGACAAGGTATGCTTTAATTTGTTACCTATATATATATATATATATATATATATATGTTGATGGGAGTAGAACTTAATTTCAATCACTTGAACCCAAATCCTTAAATTTGATGATAAACCATTTGACCCATAGTGCTGGTTCCAATTTGCTCTTTGTTTGCTAATTAAATGGGCAGGAGTAGCTATTCCATAAATATATATTAAGCCAACATGAATGGTGCTTCTTTGTTTGATATCTTGCAGTGGCATTGGTTGAACTATTGGGTGGAAGACTTATTATAAGGCTTGGTATGTGACGTCTTCAACTAAACTTTTTCTTTATTATTCTTTAAGAAATTTCTCCTTATTCTTTTTCTTGACTTGGTGTAGGAAAACTGAGGCGCATATATTATCTGAAATTATCCCATAGGTATGCCAATTTGGTTCTGCGTCACTGGTGCAAGGAGATATCAACCTACACGGATGCCACACAACTTGTTGAAAGTGGAGCAATCTCAGTAATCTACCAAGCAATTAAGGATGGCACATGGGAGATTGTGGTTGAGATTCTTCAAGCAAACCCAGATTTAATTTGGTGCAATGAAAAGCTTACAAGAAAAATGATAATCATGGCAATCAAATATCGTCGAGGTAGTCTTTTAACATTTGGTTCCGAGCTTGATGCAGGGAAGAAAGCACTTCTCTCTTTAGGAGATAAAGATGGAAACAATGCGTTGCATATAGTAGCCAAGTTACCTGTTTATCCTTATGATTCTGTCGGTATCCATGCAGCTTGGGCCATGATACGCGAAGAAAGGTGGTTTGAGGTTGTCAATAAACTCTGACTTCATATTTCTTTTCTCTAATTAACGAGCAGAATATTCTATATTTCTTACATCATTTTATTTTACGGTATAAAATTAGAAAAAAAAAAAATAGAAACAGACAAGGAGCGAAGATTATTAAATCTCTTGGTGGAGTCGTAAGTTTAATTTGGAGTAATTACTGAGCCTCAGTTGTAATCAAATGATTTGTTTTTCTGGAAAAGATTTGTTGTTTTCTTTTTCTTTTTTTGTCTTTTCACTTTAAATTTTAAGGCTAATACTGTTATGAAATTGCAGGAGATTAAGAGATACCTTCCATGCTGGTCTCATGAAGCCAAAAATCGTTATGGTGAAACTCCAGACCAAGTTTTCTACAGGGAACACCAGGAATTGATAACAAATATGGAGGAATGGGGAAAGAAAACTGCAAAGTCTTATAGTCTCGCATCTGTTTTAATTGTTACCATTATGTTTGCAGCACTCTTTACAGTTCCTGGCGGGATCGATGAAAAGACCGGCATGCCCAAATTATTGCACTTAAAACAGTTATCCGGGTTTCTAATTTGTGATGCAGTGTCCTTCATTACTGCATCAACTTCATTTTTCGGATTCCTGAGTGTACTCACACTAACTTACAAAAGAAGTGGTCCTCGCGGAGCTCTGCCCTTTCAAATGTTGTTTGCCATTTCCACCCTCAGCATTTCGATAGCAACGATGATCCTGGCCTTCATTTTTGCTCTTGTGATGATGTTAGAAAACAAGTGGCGGGTATTACCAGCTATTATAATATACCTACTTGTAGTTTTTTACATCTTGTTGTCTGACTGGCAAATTCCCACATTTCTAAGCCTTTTTTTCATGATGGTTTTTCGTCCAAGTAGCTATTTAGATAGAGCATATGGACGGCATTTGAAGAGTCTTTGATGTTGTTAACTTACTTTTATTTTGTTTTTAAACTTGTAATGTTCTGCCTTTAAGTTAGGAACATTTTTTGTAAAAATTATCGATGTTCGGATTTGATATGTTTTATTAATTGTAAGTATTTGGTATATATTTTTACGGGAACAATTTTGATGATGTTATTATCACATCTTTAATTATTAATGTTATTTTTTTTATTTTAATTGATTATTATAGTTTTTAATTTATTAAGAAACAAAAAAAAAATTTAAAAAGAAT